CGCCCGCAAGGGCGGCGGCGGCTGGAGGCCGCCATGAGGGATCCACCGCCCACTTGAGGACCCCAATTGGGCCCTTCATTGGGGGTCTCTGTGAAAGGGCCCCATTTAGCTCCGTCCGTGAGGGCTTTCCCTCATTAAGGGTCCTCTCATTAAGGGCTTCATGTTTAGGACTAGCCCCTCCATTACCGCCAATTAGCTCCCCTAATGAGAGACTCCACTTTAAAGGCCCCTATTAAGGGCCCCTTCCCCTAGCATCTCCCCTGTCCTTAAAGGTCCTGTCTTTTAGCCCATCCCCATTAAGTATCCCCCATGCATCCTTTTTGTTTTCTTGGGATTCCCATTAAGTATCCCCCATGGATCCCCTTCTTTTCTTGGGTTCCCCCATTAAGGATCCTTTCTTTTAATGCTTTCCTCCTCCTGCCATGAAGGGCTCCCCATTTTGCCCCCTGGTTAAGGGACTCCGGGAAGGTTTCCCTTGTGCTGCCTCTGCCTTGGTGCGAATCCAAGGGAAACATCCCACCCTTTGGAGCTTTCCCCTTGCAGGGCCTCGTTTCCCTGTCTGGCTGCTCCACTTGAGGCTCGTCCCTCTCCCGAGTTGCTCCCGCCAGCCGCTCTGTCCCTGTCCTGGGTGTATTTTCAGCCCTGTCTTTGTCCCTCCTGATTTACTGCCTGTTTTCCAGCCCTCCTTGGCTTTGTGAAGGCCGGGGCTGGAGCAGCCCCGCTGGGTCCGTGTTCCCGTGCAGCGGAGCCGCGCGCGGGCCCTGCCGCCCTCCTTCCCTTTGGCGACGCGGTGCCCGTGACCCACATGGCCAAACCAGTTTGGCAGCTGTTCCCGCACAGTTCATATAGGTCATGTTTGCTCCCTTGGCTATGAGACTGTTACAGGAAACAGGGCAGGAACCTTAAAGACAATCTGCTCCTTTACCCCAAGCTTTACTCTTTTTTCCTGTCTGACATTGCTAAAGCCAAGCCCTTTATTTTCTCACTTCCAGGTTTTCCCGCATCAGCTCCGTGAGTTCTCAAAGATGCTTTTCCAAGGAGAATCCCATCTTTTCCTTGGAGGAAGCCCCCGAAACCCGCCCGGAGCAGCCAAGGGAGGCAGCGGCGTGGGACCAGTCACGCACACAGGTGTCTTTGCCCTCCTGGGTGGCAGGGAAGGCTCTTGCCCTTGCACGTAGGTTTTTTTTATGTGTTGCCTATTCAGCTGTTGCTTATCAGAAAGAGGCACCAGGGGCCTTTTGTAATTTTGAAGGAAACCGTGGGGTTATCAATGCGCTTTCGTGGTTTTCAGGCCAGCAGGAA